CGATGATGATGATCATTAATTTAAAACTTCAAACGAATTTAATCAAAATCTTGTATAGAATGGCAATAATCATATACTGTATGTAGTTTATCCAGATTGAGTTTATAACTTCACTTGTAATTATATTCACAATTTGATGTAATTTGTTGGTGGATATGTGTTATGGATTGTTGGAGATGAATGATGTGATGAACATGAAAACCGAATGTGTAGAGGTTATTTGGACTTTGGAGCTAGCGAAGTGCAATCTTGTAGGCCCAATATGACTTAGCCAGGGAATTTGTTGCAACAGGTTTGGTTTGGGACATCAGTGCACAATATTTGACATCAGTGTTGTAAAAATGAAAGAGGAAATTCGGAAAAATACATATTTTGGCTTTTTAATTTGAAAAATACCTTTTTTTGTTTGAAAAATACATTTTATTAAATATGGAATTACGAAAATATCCTAAAAAAAATCTGCATAACAAATAATATATTACATATTTAAAATTGAATTAATTTGTTACGAGAAATTAATATATATATAGCCTATAATTTAGGAATTTGGTATTTGATGTTATTTGTTTGCTTTTAAACTCCTAGATTTTCGTTTGCTATGTTGGCTTTTATCCCTAGTTTTGGATTTGCTAAACTCTGGGTTTGATTGTTTATCCCTAGTTTAAGATATTGTTTTATCAATAAATTTGATTGTTTATCGCTGGTAAAAAGTTTTTTATTAAGCGTTTTCATGTTGTTTTTTTCACGACTATTCTCTGTTATATGCGTGCCTTTTGCTGGGTCATCAAAGATTCTTAAGACATAACCACTGCAAAGCAATGCTCAAAACTCCTGCTTCATATCTATGTTTTTTTATATATTTAATAGTAAATTTTAAACTTTAAATCAACTAACTTTTTTATCTCAAAAAAGTAAAAATAAAAAAATTAGTGATAGTTATATATATGAATTAACTAATTTTAATCAATAATTTAACCTCATCTCAAATAAAAAGAAAATAAATATTAATAATAATTATATATATGAATTAATTAGTATTAAAATCCAATGTGGATAAAACAGTCTTTTTTATTATAAAAAGAAGTATTTTTTATAAAAAAATGATGTATTTTTCAAATTTTTAAACTTAATTGGTGTATTTTTCAAAAAATTTCAATATTAAATATGTTATGTTTATCTATATGTAGTCCTACAACCTGGTAGTAAGGTTATTTGACAATGTTGCAACAACTTTTGTTATATGATCTTACAATATTGTTCTCAGATAAATTGGTAGTATTGCGCGAGTTATATTCTATTTAAAATAAGTAAATGAAAGTAGAATAATTTTTTAAATGGTTAAATCAAAATTTTTTCGTTAAGTTTAACAAAATTATAAAACTCATGTATCACGCGAACCATATTTTAAGATTATTTAAGTATTTTGTTTGAGTATTTTTATTTTCTAAATAAAGTTTACAATAATGAATATATTTCATTTATATTGTAGTTCATTAGGAGTAATCAAAATATTATAAATTTAATAGCGATAAACAAAAATATAAATAAACGAACTGAGATTAAAAAAAAATTTAATGATGTTAATTATTGAAGCATTGTATTTGAGTTTCAACCAATTGTTAGAAAGTTGAAGGTTTCAAGAGAAAGAGAACATACGATTTCACTAAAGGATATTGAACAATCTCAATAAAGATCAGAAAATAAGGTGAAAATCTGAAATATAAGATTTTATACAAAATGTTATATTTGAGTTTTTGGAAGTATAAATGAAAAAAATTGAAACGTAGTAATACCATAATTTAGAATAAATAACAAAACTTAAGTTTTGATACATATAAAGTTAAAAATTAATGGTCACATTATTCATGAATTTTACAACAAAATACGCGGGGAAGGATATATGATATTTATCTAAAAATGTACGCAATTCTAC